ATTTCCTTACAAAAATTTTAACTCAAACGTGGTTTAGCTTTTTAAGAATAAAAAAAAAAATCATCACAATTGAGATGGTGGGGTTTATATTTTGCCTTTTTTTCTTAATATACCTACATAATATTCTTAGAACAATATGATACTCAAAAACATGTTTTTAATTTCTTATAAAGAAAGCAGTATTTTGCAGTTAAACTCCGCCCCCTAGGTTCACGATGAATTAAAAAAATCACAATTGAGATAGGGCGGGTGGGCGGGTGTACATTTTGCCTGTTTGTTTTAATATGATTATGTAGACTTCTTTTCACAACATGAAACTTAAAATATGTTTAAAATTGAAAATTTCAAGAAGGAAATATCGATTTTGCAATTTTAGTTCTTCCAGTGTCCTCAGAAATGAGGATAATCATGAAATTATATTTTCACTTCCGGAGCGTAAGTCAAGGAAATATTGTAATAGGGTCAATCGGGCTGCTGCCTATTTTCATGTTTTCTCGACGTTTCATGACCTTTAGTGTATGTACGAAAAAAACAGGTCTCCCGTTTCCGTCTGTGTGTGTCGAATTTATTAGAATGATTATCTCCAAAACTACTGGATCGATTGTTGTCACATTTTATATGTAGTGTAAGAATTTCGTGTAGATGGTAAAATAAATATAAACTCCTATCATTATTTTGCGCAGTTAAGGTTATCGAAATTTTATGAAATAATATGCCCCTGCACTCGTCGTTTATGAATCCGCCTCGAATTTTATAATAATTACTTTACGATCATCAAATGCTTCGTACACGAGTGATGATTGATCTCGAACTAGCGCTCTGTGGATTCGAATCCCATACCCAAGATGTTTTTTTTTGACACTATGACTTGTGTTATCTATTTTTCAGTATCTCAACATAAAATAAATAAAATTTTATAATTTTTCGAAAAAAACTGGATTTGTTCGATTGTATTTAACGGGTGCGGAATTTCTGTCTAAATAATCTTCGACTATTTTTTAAGATAAGACTGATTATGGCAGATGACATACCCTCTAAAAAATTAAAGAAGTGGTGGGCGGGGCTAGTACTTGCCAAGATGAGACTGATTTTAGCAGATGACAAACCTTCAAAGAAAATAACGGGCGGGTGGGCGGGGTTAGTACTGGCAAAGATAAGACTGATTTTGGCAGATGACATATTTTCTAAGAAAAGAGAGGGTGGGTGGGCGGGGCTTGTACTTGCCAAGATGAGACTGACTTTGGGAGATTGCAATTAGGCTTCGCCCCACAATTGCAAAATCCATCTTTCGTTGCAAAAACGGACCATTTTAACCATGTTTGAAGTTTCTTGTTGTGAAAAGATGGCTATGTATATGTATTAAGAAAAAAAAGGCAAAATATAAGCCCCGCCCACCCGCCCTGTCTCAATTCTCATGATTTTTTTTATTCGTCGTAAGCCGAGGGGCGGAGCTTAATTGTAAAATCCTTATTTTCCTACGAGAAATTACCATGTGAAATATGTTCTTAAGTAATCGTGTTATACAAAGAAAACATTACATAATTAAAACAAAAACTCATCCGTCTCGATCTCAATCGTGATGAAATTTTCATTCGTTGTCAGACCGAGGGGCGGAGCGGAGGGTAATTGCAAAATCGATATTTCCCTATACAAATTTACCATTTTAAACATATTTTAAGTTTCGTGTTGTGAAAAGATGACCACACATATTAAGAAAAAAAGCTAAACCACCCTATCTCAATTACAATTACATGTAAAAAGGGGATATAAAAAAATAAGCTAGGGTAATGTAGACTAAATTATACAATTTGGATTTTTTTGCGAAAATTTACACGGCCGAGGTAAAATTTAAGGCGGACACATGAACCACAAGCACAAGAGTACGTTATTTTATAAAATTTAAATGGCGTTTAATGAAAAAATGTCGAGGAGATGTCATCAATTTGTTGCTGGGAATAATGAGACAAATTTTGGTTAGCGTTTTACCACCTAAACGATATAAAATTTAACAACCATTGGTTCAGTAGTTTCGGAGATTATCTATGTTTAATAAAAATCGACAGACAGACGGAAACGCGAGAGCCACCGTTTCGTATTCTAGGGGTCATGAAACGTTGAGGAAACCTGAAAGTAGCCATTCGTCGGACGAACCCTATTAAAATACATCGCGACTTTAATCAATTAATTTTATGATCATTTTTGTGACAACCCATATAATTTAAAATAAAAATAGGTTTGAATTATTAGATCACAGATGCGCACATTTCAAGGGATGACGTCATCAAGTTTTTGGAGGTACATTTTGATTAGCGATTTGCGATATATAGGACAATCTTCAAGTTTTTGTAAGTGTTACATTGTTCTACACTTTTTGAGTTTTGAGAAAAGGCCGATTAATAAACCACAAGTATAGAGACATATTTTTTTATAAGATTTACGTAGGATTTTAATAATTTTGTGACTATATAGTAAATCCAACCGACTAGTATCGAGAGCAATTCGGGATTCTTCGGTAGGCATCGGTAGTCGTTTGGACGATAATCGAAGTTTTCCGAACGCTCTCGAAGTCAATAGGTCTTCAGGAACGAAAGTAGTATATATTAGATATATACAAACTAAATTTCAAAATTCCTGCATTTCAGAATGAAAATACAAAAAGAGTATTTGTTAAAACTAAAATTTGGTCTCTTCTGGTTGGCAAGGTTAAATTACGAAAGAATTAGTCTTGCGTAAAAAAAGAATTCTCACAAAATTAAATCGAACCATAATAAAATAAATTCAACCTTTTTCAAACCTACCATAAAACCGATAAATAGACCATATATTAACTTTTTATGCATACGACACAACATTTAGAAGTGACATTTAAATAAATCTCTTCGTTATTAACCAATTAATAATGTATAGATCATATCACGATCAACAGGTTGATTTATCCAATTATTATGACTCATTTGCGTTGGTTTTTCTATTAACTCCTGGAGCAAGGAACATTAAAATCAATAATAAACGAAACCGTGATTAATTGATAATGTTTAGACTCTCTTTTCCAATCAACTATTTAATCACATCGTTAAGGACTATCATTTTGGACAAATGTGGGCCAAAACCAAATTCGAGAACTACCATATGGTACGCAACTAGCTTAAGTGGTATTTAATCGGACGATAACTGTCCCACTCTAAACAGACTCAATTATACAATTTCCTCTGAAAAGCGACATTCGTGTGGGTTTAACTATTTTTTCACACGGTGTACATGACTCAACCCAGCTGTCGTTCATGATCACTACGCTAAAAAAAACTAGTCCCTCATTCATAAATCAAAAAATCCAAAAAAACTATTTTCGAGCCACCGAAAGTTCAACAGCACTCAAGTAAGACAACTTTCATTAATGGCATCGCTCCGACAATAAACACAAGAATACTAAATAACCGGATCTACGAAATCGCTTATGTCTGAAAGACATAATTCACTACAAATTTTACAACTTCCTCGCTACGTCAAGATCAGAAGTTTTTTCCGCCGATTTAATCACACTTGACCTTTTAAACAAACTTCCAGTTGTGTACAAATTTGCGGCCAACTTTGCTCTCCGACATAATAACGCGGACGCTTTAATCAAACACGACCCGCACGTTCCCACGGAAATTTTAAATTTTAAAACGACTTTGGAATTGTTCTTTTTATCGCCTACACAAATACTTTGACATGAAAACACGAGGATTCGTTTGCTTGTTTGCACATGATGGAATCGGAGGTTTCGCCTCGGACATGTCACTACATGGGTCCGACCAATGGGACACCCGTGGCAAAGAGCAATGTTCTAACAGCGTAGTAATGGTATGTAGAAAAGGCAATATTCAAATCGGGACCCCACCTTGCGACCTTGGCTACATTTCTGCCAAAACAAACGCTAATTAAGCGGACGATGGTAATGGCCACCTGATGGACGAGGAGACGTTTTTGACACCAAAATTTTGGCATTTGAAAGCTTAATGAAATTGTACTTTTAATTAATAATAAATTAACTGATATCACATTCCTACTCGATATATTTTACAATAGGTGTTCAATCGCCATTCGTGTAGTGAGGATAATGATTGATTATAGGTATAAAATTGGACTAGTTTTTTTTTACACAATTTTTTAGCAATAAATCTTTATAAAAAAAAAGACGCACTGATATGCTCAAGGTGTTGATTACGCTTCACGAGAGACTACTGGAACTATGTACTTGAACTACTTTAGACGAATATTTTTCTGGGTATTATGTAAACCAAACAAAGTCTTCTAAACCGAAAGTTAACAACAAACAACGATTATGTTTCGTCCCACTTATGTAGATAAGAGATACCACGGAAATGCCGACAGATTTACTGTTGCCACTCATTATAAAGTTTTCGGCGAACACAAACATGCGTTTTTTCTTACTACAAAATCTTAGTGGGTACTTGTTCAACAAACAGTAGCACAATTTAGGCTGCGGGGAGCTCTGAAACTAAATATCTGCGCAGACCTTTATTATCACATTTATTAATAACAATCGAAGAAAAAACTTCTGACAACACGTGTTGCAAAAACACACCTAGGGCAAAGTCAAGGACAAACACACGAGGACGGCCCACGCAATCCCGCAACGGTACCAAACCGTGTTCAATAGAGCGAACTACGAAAATACCACGCTTTCACTCTGACAATTTCATCAAGCATGAAACCTTCTCCGATTTTCTAATCTGAATCCTTTTTTTTTCGGCGTGCGATTTCGAAATAACGCAACCATGCAAATCCGTTGCATCATGTAGGTCTTAGGCAAGGTTAATCCTCACGTTTACCAGCGCGTTGAAGAAACAGGACGACGAAAAGTCGAGAAAAAGTCAGCTGCGCTAATAAATCACGCCGTGTAGTTTTTCAGAAGTGCGAATTGTCACGGTCGACGAGAGCAATAAAAGTACTACAAGATATAGTGCTAGAATCGTGAGGTGAAAAGACAGACTCACCTCTGTCGAGGTTCTTGTCCAGTTGGCTGTCCACCTTGGCTCGGAGGGCCTCGAGGTCGAAGGGAGAAGAGATTCCGTGGTCCACGCTCCGGCTTTTGCTCCTAGAATGCCAAAAAGTTTAGTTCAAGTGACAAAGGGAGGACGCGCCGCTGTCGTGTCACCAAAATTCAATTAGCGGAGCTTCAACTTTGACAAAAGAGTGACGTTTCGAATGATACGTCCAATTTCCGGGAGTTGATTGGATTTTATACGGGAATTTTTAGATAGTTTAGGACGTGAACAAGCGGCGAAATTAACAAGAATTAATTTTGATTCTCTGCTACATTTTTTCCTAGTTGCTATAGTTATTGTAAAAGCAGTGTAAAAGCGTGTCTGGATTCAGCGGTTCCAAATAAACGCTCGCATAATTGAAAAATGAGAGTGGAAAATTGAAAATTATAATTATTTCAAACCATTCAGCTGGTTTTAGAAATCCAAGCTATGGAAAAGTGTTTCCATTTGTGGTAAGTAAAAACCCATATAAATATTTTTTTATCCACTGTACATTATGTCTGCTAAATATGTAACTAATTTGCTAATATATTCAAGAATTCAATTTGAAAGTCTATTTATTTCTCGCATGATTTACATTTGAAGAACTGATTGAAAATGCTTAATTGATGCTGTCGTCCTCGGTATCTTTTCTCTTTATTACATTATTCCAAAAACTGGTTATAATCAGACGAAATTATAAAATTATTAAAATAAATTGCAAAAAAGAGCATAGGTATGAGAATATACACAAAAAGTTAACCTCGAAATCCGACGAAACTAGTTCGACGCCTCGATTACTATCTGTGTTTTAAAAATAAGTTTCGGAATTTCTGGTTGGCATCTTCATACCTAATGATGTCATCTGCATTTTTAACGAGGGAAATTAAAGATGTTAATTATCACCACTGGCGATTTTTGAAAATGTTATTTCAAATGAGGTTAAAAGTTTATTTTTCAAAAAAACTGAAAAATTGACTAAATTTAAGATTATTTTTAAGTAACAAGTTTAGTTAAGTGGTAATAATAATTGTTGCCAATCCCTAGTGCAAAATTTTTATTTTTTTTTTAATTTAAATAACTTTAAAAAGTAAAAAGTCGATTTTCTTCAATTTAAATTAATTGTTCACAAATTTTTAGTTCTGGTCTTTCAAGGTTTTGGCATCCTTAATCGCGCCACCATTCTTTCTAAAATAAATTTCAAATTGTATTTCGTATTTAAGCACTTTAATCACTAAATTTCAACAACCTGCCAAAGATGTAATGGAAAATACTTGCTCAAAATTAACACTGAATTTGTTGACCTGTTTCGGAAATATGAAAAAAACATCTTTCGAATAAAGCTTCGTAGAGAAAATCTATTAAAGCTCTTGTTTCGATGTTTTTCATTTAAAAATGAAATTTCTAGACCAAGTTTGGATGACAGAAACCATTTTTGTTCTCAGTGGTTGAGTATTCCTCCGATTTCGAGCGATATCGCGTTTTTCTTCGAATTCAAAAAAACATTTTTCAAATTTAACGGCACATAACTCCAAAGGAGTTAAAGACTGTGCCTTGTTGACCATACTGTTCGATTTCTTAAAGATTTTTAGCACTTGTAGTTAATTTTCAGGACGGATACTTAATCCGTTTAGTATTTAGAGAGGGATATATCAGATGTTGTCATTTTCCGAGAGAATTGATCAATCAAAAATTAAGGAAATATTCAAGAACCTCGGGAGACTTTTCTTGAACTCAGAATAGTTTTGTGGAGGTTGGAATTAACGAATAGACCAATTTCCAGGAAGTTGAGGAACCGTTAAAGCGACATAGCAAAATTTGAATTGGTTGAAATGTTGAAATCTTCACAATATGATAAGGTACAAAAATGAAATTTGTCCTAGCTGCCCCAAATAGAAAATCTAGACCAAGTCTTGCTCGCAGAAGCTATTTTTGTTTTCAGTTGTTGGAAATTCCTCCGATTTAGAGCGATATCGCGTTTTTCTCCGAATTCAAAAAAACGTTTTTCAAATTTCAAATAGCACATAACTCCAAAGGGGTTGAAGACTGCGCCTTGTTGACCATACTGTTCGATTCCTTTGATATTTTTAGTCCTAGCAGTCAATCTTCAGGATGGATACTTAATCCATTTAGTATCTAGAGAGGGATATATCAGATGTTGTCATTTTTCGAGAGAACTGATCAATCAAAAATTAAGGAAATATTCAAGAACCTCGGGAGACTTTTCTTGAACTCAGAATAGTTTTGTGGAGGTTGGAATTAACGAATAGACCAATTTCCAGGAAGCTGAGGACCCGTTAAAGCTACACAGCAAAATTTGAATTGGTTGAAATGTTGAAATCTTCACAATATGATAAGGTACAAAAATGAAATTTGTCCTATTTGCCCCAAATAGAATTTCTAGACCAAGTCTGCATCGCAGAAGCCATCTTTGTTTTCAGTTGTTGGAAATTTCTCTGATTTAGAGCGATATCGCGTTTTTCTCCCAATTCAAAAAAATGTTTTTCAAATTTAACGGCACATAACTCCAAAGGGGTTGAAGACTGCGCCCTGCTGACCAGACTGTTCGATTCCCTAAAGATTTTGAACTCTAGCAGTGTTGCCGAAATTATAAATGAGTGAAAGGACCAATTTCCAGAAAGATGAGGACCCATGAGTGTTAACGATAAAATAAAAAAAAAAAAAAAAAATTTAGATCAACAAAAAATTTTTCAAAACTGATTGTCTTTTTAACTGTCCAGAAGGGTGAAATTTCTTTAACTGAAATTAATTGTACAAATATTTTCAATTCTGATCTGATCGAAATAAATTCCGATTTGTACTTCTTGTTTAAATATTCTAATTATTAAATTACAACAACTTGTTAAAAAATGTAATTTGGCCAAAATTTACATTGAATTTGTTGACCTGTTTCGGAGACATGACAAAACCAACATCTTTCGAATGAAGCTCCGTAGAGAAAAATCTATTAAGCTCACATCTCCATATTTTTCATTTTATTTTGGGTAGAGGTGTACGCATTATTTTATCTAGAGAATTCTGAGCTTATAACATCGTGAATTTAAATGAAATTTTCTACATATTATCTACATTTTCCGACAGCTGTTGTTATTACCTTCTGCACAACAGAACTATAATATAAGAATGGTATGCAATAAACATTTTATTTAAAATTTATTATCTCTCGGGCCTCGAAAGAAGCACACATAACTGTGTTTTAGGAACTTTATAATGTTTGAAACTCCGCTCGTAAAAAACAAATCGTAAATAGCCGCTAAATCTGAAACTTTAAAAACAAAATCCATAACAATTTTAACTGATATAATCAAAATAAGTGTTAATTATTGTAAAAATAAGACCATCATCGACGCTTGCAGGTGTCACGCTTAAAAATTCTTTTACGATATTACCGCAATTCACTCTCATTTTTCAATTAACCATCCGCTTTTTATCTCAATCGTCGCAAAATTATTAACACCGTAAAATTAATACCGAATTTTGGCGACAAACCTGTTCCACACCACATACCTACACTATATACAACCGGTCACAGTGATCAATGAAGAAACGAAAGAAAGAAAAAATACATACCGCATCCATGGCAAATTCTCTTTAGCAACCCTTCCTCCGTCCTGCGATGCCCTACGTGACCTAACCAAGCAAAATAAAAATAAAGTCAAAAACATGCAAAACTAAGCGAAGAAAACCGTGCATAAACACCCCATGCAAGATGAGATGTTCAGGAAATTAAGCTTTTGCACCCTTTCTGTTAGGATCGCATCTAGATAGTTGTAATTATCGTCGCCTCGTGGAGACCGGGTTGAAGCTAATTGCGCGAAAAATTGACCGTAAATTAGCACGGATTTTCGTTATGTTCCGGACTTAACGGACCGAAATTATCGCCGGAAAACCAAAAAATATGACACTGTTTAAATTCATCCGACGAGCGTAATTGGAAAGTGGTACTTACGAATTCGCGACGGTGGCATTGATGGCAAAAGCTTAATTAGCCTGCGTTATGGTAGGTCCATACAGGGTGAACTACTAAACCTATTTTATTATTATTTGCTCTATTCCGATGGTAATTTTCGCGAAAATTTCGAACACATGGTATAATAAGCTACTGATATAAATCAACAGGTGGTGGATTTTTACCATGTCGACAGATAATACGCCGCCGGGTTTCCTTTTGATCTGCAGTAACAATCAGCGAAAGAGGCATAAATTTCACTTTCACTTTACTGTTCAATTTGCATTTTTGCGTTACGAGCGAGCTAATTGCGCGAAAAATTGCCATAAATTAGCGCAATTGCGAGCTTTCCGGGCCGAAATTATCGCTGACCTTACCGGAAGGCGAAAAAATATGACACTTTGTTTAATTCATCCGATGGATGTAATTAGGAAGCGGAACGCATTCCGGCCGAATTTGTTGTTTCTGAATTCATGAATTAACAAAACCGGCTGGGACGAAGTTTGCGATGAAAAATTCGGGGGAGTGGAGATTAACTGGGCTTATTTTCTTGGTAAGTCCGATAATTCGGAAGCGTAATTAACCTATGGCGAGCGTAGTTGTTTTGAATTTTAAATTGCGCAAAATAATTTTTAATTATGCGATAAAAAATGACAAAATGTTTGTGACCGCACCTAACCACGTTGAAACCACAGGCTATTGCGTCTGTTCCGGTGTAATCAGTACATTAAGGTGCAAGGTCGTTTCAGTTTAGTGCTCTATTAATTGATAGAAATTAGCCATTGCATGTAGCTGAATTAATATTTATGCGTCTCTCGTAATACAAAAAGCGCGCCATTTTTAGCAATTTGCTTCAATGAAGAGTAATGGAAATTTGTCCGGTGCATAGCGCGACCTTATTTAATCAAATGAGATAAAAATTTGGTTATTTACGACGTTGTTTGTTTTGCTCAATGATAAAACGATTAAATTTGTTTTGAGTGGATGAAAATTTACATCCTCGTTTTCCAGATGATAAGAGAAATTAACACGCCGTGAAGTATGTTTAAAAGCTTTCCGTCTGATTATTTGTCTAGAAATAACCTTTGCTTTAACGGCGGCCTTGGCAATCGATTAGATTTTTTAAAATTATTAAGTCATTATCTCTAATTTATCCAATATGTCTATTCGTGCACAGACACTTCCTTCAATTGACGCTTAAGTCCGACGTATGAGCCAATAATAAAAATTGTCAATCAAGCTATTATGGACCGAGAAAATTACATAAACACCGTGAGACCCGCTTTTTATTCAATTGTTTATAATTTTCTCTTTTTATAAGCGTGGATTTATTTATGTGTTTGCTCCACTTTTTTATATCCCTTTTTACACAAGAGTTATTCCAAGAATGTTGCATTGTGCTAGTTTTTGAACAACCTTGACTAGTTTGTCGTATATGAACTGCCAAAAATTGTGTTTCGTAGATTCAAGTACGCGTGCTGAACTTTGCAAATTTTGTATAATTTAACTTGCAAAATTGAAGTCGCAGGTATGTAAATGCTGTCTTGTTATTGAGGCTGCTTTATTTATTCAGACCATAACAAATTGTCAACAATGAAAATCGTACTGATGCAACAACACGACATTTTGCCGTTTTTAAATAACTTTTATGTATAAACAAATTTTTAAGTAGTCTACTTACTATTCTATTTTTCAAAAAACAACTTGTGCGTCAAATCTCACTTCTTCGAAAATTAAAAACAAAGTTAATTCCAAAATCTATCATCCACTAAAAATTTTTCTTCGTCGCAAAGCAAAGGATTGTATTTGTTTGCGTTTATATATACAAGAAAAGATATTCTTTTGATGTGCAATGAGTTTATTTTTCTTGCTCTTTTCACTCTTCACAATGCGGTTAGCAAAACAAAGTTTATTCGATGATAAATTGTAAAGCGCAATAAAACGCAGGATCTTGCTCCTGAGAAAAAAAATGGGAAACATGACTGTGCTACTGAAAAGATGGACAATATTGTTACAGTGTCTATCGGTGATTTATTTATTCAAATTTGATAAATCTTCACAATAAATTATCTACCTGACTTGAAAAAAATATTTGTGTCGCGTAGTTAAATTTATTGTGATGAGACAAGCGATTGTGATTATACATAAAACATTCTTGACAAATAAATACGTGTTTTTACAACATTTGTGTTAAAATAATAGTCTCCGATAAATAATTTACGAGTTCGTCAGTCCACCACGAATTAAAAACAAGACCTACATACCAGAACAACAATTAAAAAGTCCTACACATTTGATTAACATAGAATTGAAAATTTACCACAGATTTTCTCCAAGGTATTGCATACACTTATAAAATTTTCCTAAAAGGAGAGAACAAACAACAACTAAATCAGATAAGACATGAATTATTAATAAAGTGTATCTTTATCTAAAAAAACTCATACATTTAACCACATAAGTCAAGGTTGCAAGTTTAACGTCCGAAATGTTGAAATAGTTTGATAAATGAAGTGATAGCCTTATTTGATTTATTAAATAAACACTTATTATAATCCCAAAGAGCACAAATGCTACACGTATGAAATTCTGCAAACATGACGCAACTATTATATCATAAATTAGCACCGAGAAAAGAGTTTTTCATGGCATTGTTTATTCTAGTCTTTGTTGTAAGCACAAAAAATATTGTATTACATAGTTGAAAAATCACGTAAATCAACGTATTCATCAAATTCCGCCAACACCTTTGTCTGCTTCGTTTTAAATTAAATTCTACTAATGTAGTCAGACAGACATAATAAACTTATCACGAAAATTCATGAAGCTAACGCAACCCCATATTTACTGCCAACACACAACCGAGCTTCATAGAATGCAAATTAATTTATTTCGGCAAATAGAACAATGTCAACAACTTATACTCCACATTTGACGTATTCCTTGTCTGGAACCGTGTGGACAAAGTCTTTACTCTAAGCTTAAATATTTAACGAAAACGTCGGCAAATTTATCAAGCTCGTTGCAACAGTGAATAATAAAATAAATAACTCTACTTACACAAATACAGCTTGTGCAAATAAATAATTAAACCCGAAACTAACGTATTCACATTATCAACGCCCAAATTAATTTGAAAATGGTAATTTTTTAACGACTGTTTAGCCCGACTCCATCATGTCTATCAGGCGATTTATTTACTTAATCTTTTATTAACTTCAGCGATCATTAAAAAAATTTGGCAGAAGAGAAACACAGCTGTCTGGCTGGTGTTTTGTGTTACGAAATTGTGGGTGGCAGCAACGAAAATAAAATCATAATAAAAACACTTGTGAGGAGAGTCGCAAATGGTTCGTTTAGCATATTTATTACTGGAATAATTGGGAATTTTGCAATTGCTAAACACGGAATGAAATTTTCCGAAGAATAAATTTATCGCTCATCAGTCTGCTTCATACCGATGTTTTACAAGCAATTCGGGTAGTTGGGTCTGAAAAACAAAGTAGCTATTTATAAAAAGGCTGTCCAAATATAGACATAAATCTCGCCATATTTATGGCGGAGATAACGTCGAACAATAAACGGAGACTGAAAACACGGGCTATCGCGAATTGTTTAACGATTTAAAATGGTTTTCTGTGTTTCTCGCCGTAATTACCATAAACAAAAACACGAGCTAGCTTGACGATGCTTTATCAATAATTATCGTGCTTGTTTGGATGAGCCTTGGCCTTACATCGGTGAAACATGTCTGTGGAAGCAAATCGCTTATCACTACGACAGGGGATAATTTGTTTATGTTCTAGAAAGATGTTTTTGCAAATAACAATTAAAACAAGTCCCGAATTTATCAGTCTTAGAGTCGAAGTTATCAACAAAATAATCGTTTTGTGTTCAAACTTAAGATAAGTATTTATTAAACATAACGATAACCCGAGATGAGTAATTTTTTTTATTATATTTAAACTAGGAGATTAAATCGGACGTTTGGTATGCGATAATGGGCTAAACAAATCCTCCATTTTTTGTTCGTCACTCTATAAAAGGTAGCAATAAACAATTAAAAGTTAGTGCTTTTCCAGAAACAAATCTGCTAAGCAAACTACTTAAAAGTTGTCAATTAGTGTGGTTTAAAAAATGCAATTTTAAGTTTTTGTTTGTTGCGAAAAATAGATAAAATGAAAAATACTTAAATCTATTTACATATCAGATTTTTGTTGGTGAGATATGGGAAGTGCAATGAATGATATGATAACAAAACAAAGCTTCTGTATATTATGTCAACCGGTATAAACTGTCGAGTTCCGTTGCAAAAAAATCAGCACAAACAAGTTTTTATGACAATCTTGGAACAAATATAGAGCTGCTTGCGTCTGACGCGTATTCGCACAGAAATAAGCTACAGTAGAATTTGCGTACGACAATCTCAGTTTGAATTGGTTTGACAAAAAAAAGGAGCAACTGTAGAATTCAAACTAAATGACTGTCAGCGCTAGGTGTATAATTGAGTTTGTTATAACTAAGTTGTACTGTATTGGATTCGGTATAAAACGGAATGCGTAATGACTAATGAGACTTTACTGTTGCGATGGATTGCAACAGATTTCAACAAGAGTACGTAAGCAAGACTACTCGTTCGGATTTCTTCATTACCGCGTTTGATCGTTTGTTTACATGCCACACAAGGCAATTATTTTTTTTTTTACTTAATAGCTACAATTGACGTCCTTGTAAAGATCTGCAATCAAGGAGTGCCATCGGTTTAGTCAAGTCAAAAGTGCTTAAAAACTTTGTTCCTGGGTCTATACAGCAAACTAAGGAGTTGTGCTTTTTAATATTTTTTTTTAAGTTAGCAAATCTTAATTGATGATTTGTGTTTCTGAAGATCAATCTGTGACAATTGTTCGAAACACGAATCGTATAGAGATGGAATATAGTGATAGTGATTAATTATCTGCCCCAGTGCAGATATTTAACTGTGCAAGAAAAATTCCTGTTAATTATGATTAGTTTAAAGAGTGAATTGATAAAATAGTCATAACATAGTAATGTTGTATAACATTTAAAACAATGGTTTGATTCGTTAACCGGCGATAAGATAAACTTTATTATGTATAGAAAATTTCCATTAAATTGAACCTATTAATTAAAACTCGTTTGGCAAAATTACCATCAAAATAAACCACGCCAGGTAAAGTGAACCGGATTTGTCGCTTTGAAGGCTCGACAAATCCAAAATAAGATCAAATCGGAAAAAATCCAAGACCATCGACTGGCGAAATTCCTCACCACCGCAACAATGAGTATCAATCGAAATGGGTGCGGTACGGATCGAAAGCTCGCCATGAACGTGCAACACTTCCGTGTACCTGGGCCACGGTTGTCCCCCGAAGATATTCCACCAGGAAGGCCTCTTCTGGCGGGCCTCCGGCGGCGAGCCGGGCTCGACCACCCCCTTCCGCCTCTTCCTTTCGAACTTGATCGCGTGCCACGACTTCCTCCTGCTCTTCTTGTCGACGACGATGTCGGGCACCTCCTCCTCGATGGTGTTCCAGCTGGGATCTTCGATCCAGGGGTCCTTCTCGTGGACCACCTGCAGGACCTCCGAATTCATCATGGCTATTTACATCGCTTGTGCAACTGTAACGGCACAAAGGTACTTTCACACGATTATCCGCGCGGAACGGTTTCTGCTGGTAACTCTCTCTCCTGTGGCACTACACTCGAAGATGGTCACAGACTGAAGTGTGAGATCCGAGATGCAGTCACCGGGTAACAACACTGTTTGTCTGTATGACGGCGGCGCTCCACTTTACTCGGACAGCAGTCTGACGAACTATCCTGCTGACTATTCCACGGTGCACTAACCTGCTGGGTATGAACTGCTGCTATCGTTTCGCTAGCTGCTGCAGCCACTACTTTCACGCGGCTCCCCAGCACGGCGCTTTGTGGATAAACAACGGGTATTTTTAAACATCGCAAATTGCCGATATGTGGGCTTGTTGAATGCAAATTCTGGTGTAAGAAGTTATTAATGGTTTTATGGACGCAACCGTCACCCTGCTACCATTCTCAATGACGAGTTGCCTAAAGCGGTTGAGGCTGTTCCAGATCTGCCAGGCTCGTTTATTTTCTTCAATTACTCACAAACACACGCGACGGTAATAAAATCATCTCCATCGATAAGGGTGGTACTCAAAGCCAGCAAAACTGGTTCAAATCTTATATTTTTGGTAACCTTACAAGAGCTCGTCGAGGACATTCTGCGAACTTTATTCAGGGTTTAACCCTGTTGGGTTACACGTGTGTAGGGTGTGTTACGTGCAACCAGTTTAGCAATTGTTTGCATTGTTCTCTAAGGAGTGCGTCGCCGCTTTCATCACCTTGTCTACCCTTGTATTAACAAGACTGGCCCAAATGATGTAGGGTCACCACAAGGATAATAGATCTTAAAAGCGTCCTGTCGATGGTTTTGTTCACACCGGATACAACACACTCGAGAGAAATAAAAATAAAACCTGAACATTTATAAATCGCATAGTGGTACCGTCATTGATATTTTGACTTGCAAATATTAAAAATTATCGTACCGCTGAACAAAATGAGGCTCCTGAGGTTCGCACATTATGTTAATTTTAGTGCGCAAATCGTATACAGGGTGTTTCGTCCAAACTGATCGAAACTTGCAGGAATTATTATTTACAAAGATCATAAAAGGATCGAAACAACTTTCCTTTTTAGACGGAGCTGCTTTTTTTGAGGAGATTGTTGCCACAATACACTCATGTGAAAACTAATAGAACTATCGTAAAAGCGTTTGAAATGTTGAAACGTCATGTTGAAATTAAGCGATATAATTTGTAAGTTTAATTGACAATACAAACGATGAGGTGACCCTGGAAAGAAAAACACGTAGGCGTTGTGTCAAATTTGCTTTATAACTTCGGTGAATCTCAGGGTCACCATGCCAAACAAATGATTTTCTTTGTTACGCTATAAAATTCCACGAGAATTACAGCAAATTCCGAAAAATTCTTTGCACTTCTTTGAAAGTATAAAACACCACAGACCCCGAGATTCTTTGGAGTTCTTTAGAAAAATTAAATATCAGAGATCCCTGAGATTCTGTCGGCTTCTTTGAAAAAAAATAAATATCAGTGATTTCCAAGATTTTTTCCAGGAAGGAAATAAAATACCAGGGATCCTTGAGATTTTTTTGGATTCTAAAAAAAATAAATCATCAGAAGTTCCCGAGATTCGTTCGGCCTCAAAAAATAAAATATCATGGATCTCAGACATTTTTTCGACTTCACATAAAATATCATGGATCCCCGAGATTATTTGGACTTCTTTAAAAATATAAAGCATCAGGGACTCCCAAGATTCTTTCGACTTTTTTTTTAAATAAAACACCAGGGACCCTCAAGATTCCTTGAATTTTTTTATTAAAAAAGTATATCAGGGATCCTTGAGATTCTTCGCCAAGCATTCCCGCGATTCTTTCAAGTTCTTAAAAAAAAGTAATAAAAATAAGAGTTCCCGAAATTTGTCGGACTTCTTTGAAAAAATAAAATATCAGGCACCCCCAACATGGACTTCTTTAAAAAATTAATTACTAGAGGTTCCCGAGATTATTTCGGCTTCCTAAAAAAATAAATATCAGCGACTTCCAGGAATCTCTCCATACCTTTAAAAAATAAAACACCAGCGTTCCCCCAGATTCTTAAGGAAAACACTACTCTTCGAATTTTTTTTCGAAAAAACAAAAACACAAGGAACCCCCAAGATTTTTTGGACTTTCTTTAAAACATAAAATACCGTGGATTCCCGTGATTCTTTGGACTTCTTTGAAAATATGAAACATCAGGAACTCCCAAGATTCTTTGAACTTAAAAAAAAATAAAGCAGTAGAGGACCTCTTTAAAAAAATAACATATCATGAATTTCAGAGATTATTTGGACTTCTTTAAAAGTATAAAACACCTCAGAGACCTCCAAGATTTTTTAGATTTCTCAAAAAAATGAAACACCAAGAATTCCCGAGATTCTTTGGAAATATAAAACATCAGGAAGTTCCACGATTCTTTGGGCCTCTTTCAAAAAATAAAAATCATGAATTCCAAAGAATATCTGGACTTCTTTAAAAGTATAAGGCACCTCACGGACCTCCAAGATTCTTTAGACTTCTTCGAAAAAATAAAAACACCAGGGACCCTCAAAATTTTTTGGACTTCCTTAAAAACATTTACTACTATGGATGTCCGATATTATTTGGAATTCTTAAAAAAATAAAGCACCAAGAATTCCCGAGTTTCTTTGGACTTCCTTGAATAAATCGTCAAGCATTCCCGAGAATCTTTCAAGTTCTTAAAAAAATAATAATAATAAAACACCAAGAATTTCCAAAATTTTTTAGATTTCTTTGAAAAAATAAAACATCAGGTACCCCAATATTCTATGATTTCTTTAAAAAAATAAATTACAAGAGGTTCCCGAGACTATTTCGGCTTCTTTAAAAATTTTAATATCAGTGATTTCCAAAATTCTTTCTAGGATTTTGAAGAAAATAAAATACCAGGGTTCCCGAGAATCATCCGATCTCCGTTTTCTTCAAAAAAATACAAAAGAAGGACTCCGAGATTCTTTAGACTTCTTTAAAAAATTAAATGTCATGGATAATAGAGATTATTTGGACTTCTTTAAAAAAATAAAACAAAAGAGGCCGTTAACATTCTTTCCAGTTCTTTAAAGAATTAAAACACCACGGGACCCAAGATTCCTTCGACTTCTTCGAAAAATAAAAACACCAGGGATCCCCAAGATTTTTTGGACTTCCTTAAAAACATAAAATACCATGGATTCCCAAGATTATTTGGACTTCTTTAAAAATATAAACGATTAGGCACCGCTAAGATTCTTTCGACTTCATTAAAAAAATAAAACACCTAGAATTCCCGAGATTTGGACTTCTGCGAAAATATAAAAAACCAGGGACCGACAAGATTTCTTGGATTTTTTTTATTAAAAATATATGTATCAGGGACCGTTGAGATTCTTTCGGCTTCTTTAAAAAAATAAATCGCCAAGCATTCCCAAGATTCTTTCAAGTTCTTAAAAAATATACCTATATAATAAAACACCAAGAATTTTCGAGATTTTTTGGACCTTTTTTGAAAAAATAAAACATTAGGGACTCCAATATTTTATATTTTAGATAAAAAAATTAATTACTACAGATTTCCTAGACAATTTCGGCTTCTAAAAAAGAAATATATATGAGTGATTTCCAAAATTTTCTCCACGACTATGAAGGAAATAAAGTACCAAGGGTCCCCGAGATTCTTTGGCCTTGTTTTAAAAAGTGACCACTGGGGACGGCAAGGTTCTTTCTAGTTCTTTAAAGAAATTAAAACACCAGGAATCCTCGAGATTCTTGTTACTTCTTTAAAGAAATAAGACACCAATGGTTCCCGAGATCCTTTGGACTTCTTTAAAAATATAAAACACCAAGGATTCCCGTGATTCTCTAGACTCTTTTGAAAAAAATAAAAGTACCAATGAACCCCAAGATTTTTTGGACTTCCTTAAAAACATAAAATATCATTGATCTCCGACATTATTTGGATTTCTTTAAACAAATAAAACACCAAGGATTCTTTAGACTCCTTTGAAGAAATAAAAACCACCAAGGAATACCAAGACTTTTTGGACTTCCTTAAAGACATAAAAGATAATGGATTCTCGACATTATTTGACTTCCTTAAAAGTATAAAACATCAGGGACTCCCAAGACTGTTTCGACTTCTTTAAACAAATAAAATACCAAGAACTGCCGAGATTCTTTGGACTTCTTTGAAAATATAAAACATCAGGAATTTCCAAGATTCTTTGGACTTCTTTAAAAATATAAAACACGAAAAACCCCCAAGATTCTTTTAAGTTTTTAAAAAAGGATTCCCGTGATTCTCTAGACTCTTTTGTAAAAAGAAAAACACTAAGAAACCCCAAGATTTTTTGGAGTTCTTTAAACAAATAAAACACCAAGGATTCCCGTGATTCTTCAGACTCATATGAAAATATAAAAACACCAAGGAAGCCCAATATTTTTAGACTTCTTTAAACAAATAAAATACTAAGAACTGTCGAAATTCTTTGGACTTCTTTGAAAATATAAAACATCAGGAATTTTCAAAATTCTTTGGACTTCTTTAAAAATATAAAACCCGAAAAACCCCCAAGATTCTTTTAAGTTTTTAAAAAGGGATTCCCGTGATTCTCTAGACTCTTTTGTAAAAAGAAAAACACTAAGGAACCCCAAGATTTTTTGGAGTTCTTTAAACAAATAAAGCACCAAGGATTCCCGTGATTCTTCAGACTCCTATGAAAATATAAAAACACCAAGGAACCCCAATATTTTTAGACTTCTTTAAACAAATAAAATACCAAGAACTGCCGAAATTCTTTGGACTTCTTCGAAAATATAAAACCTCAAGAATTTTTTGGACTTTTTATAAAAAAATATATATCAGGGATCCCTGAAATTCTTTCGGCTTCTTTCATAAAATAAATCCCCAAGCATTGCCGAGATTTTTTCAAGTTCCTAAAAAAAATAATAATAAAACACCAAGAATTCCCAAGATTTTTGGAATTAAAAAAAAAATAATTACTAGAGGTTCCCGAGATTACTTCGGCTTCTGAAAAAAAAAAAAAAAATAAATAAATATCACTGACTTCGAAGATTCTCCCCAGAACTTTAAAAAGATAAAACACCAGGGATCCCCGAGATTCTTTCGGACTCGAAAAAAATAAATCATCAAAGTTCTCAAGATTCATTCCGCATTTTTAAAAAAGTAAAACGCCAAGATTATTTATAATTCTCTAAAAAAATTAAAACAC